CTGGGAGAACTGGCATTAGTTGGCAGCCCTCCAAAAGTTCCTAGCAGCCAAGGTTCCACTATAGCCACAACCCCCGTCGATCGCATACGGGAACCAACTAGTTGCACCTTGGTGTTTCCCAGCGGCCAATAGAACACTGTGATGGAGGTGGCAATAGGTGTGGCACATACTCCTGGTGGCTTACACCACAATAATAAGATACCGCCGGACTACACTAGGGTCAAGGTGCATACCGTGAAGCCTGAGTTCATGTAGTGGAGGATAGACTACGCAACTCCCGAGGGGCTAGTGTTACTTAGAGATGTTATTGGGTAGTTCATCCTCTGGCACAAACGGGATATTATATTGACTGCTTCTTCGCCGCATCCCCCTCTCCAAAATTTGGAGTGAGTTGTTGAGGTCAGGGAGATATTTTCACCATCTCGTGACCACCACATTCCTGAGATGCCACATTCTTCCCCGCCTCCTAGCGAGCATGTGCCTGATGAGATGCCACAACCTTCTCCAGCTCGTACCGAGCAAGTGCATGATGAGATGCCACAGTCTTCTCAACAAGCACAGCCGATACATGAACAACGAGTGCCTCCTGAAGAAGGTGATGCATAAGAAGATGAGGACATGCCTGAATGGGAATTTCAAAAGAAGCATCCAATCACCATAAGTCTAGTTTATGTTCCGATGAAAGATGTCTCGTCGGTGTCCAAGTGGTATTCCCATGACCAGTTCAAGCCTGAGAACCAAGTTAAAAAAAGTCCCATCACAGGGTTCTGAGGAGGCCGTCACTAGCAAACTCCACCAAATTGCAAAGTAGTATCCAAATGTTGATGCCATCAAATGGTCAAAGGATTGCCCAAAAACATATGAAAGAGGCAAGTCCTTCCTACCAAACCGGGACATCCAACGCCTACCACTTGGAATGAGAAGGTTCCATGATTGGTACTTGCGTGTTCTCCCAATGAGCATAGACCTTATACAAGCATGCTTCCCCACCGGCACATTTGGAAGCCCAGCCGGGAAAATTGTCTTTGACTTCAATGACATGGAGACATGCTTTCACCTGGGAGTAATGGAGATGAATCTAATTCGCACGTGGTGCCTGTAAGTCATTGTCCTCCCGATATGATATGAATGTAATCTTTAAATTTTGTTGTAACTAACCCACATCGTGATTTGTAGAATGCAAGTGCACATTGTCAAACAAATACCAAGTGTGAAAGCCGGGTATATAGACCCTCAAGCTATAGCCCTAACAAATTTTAATTACCCTAAACAATGGAAACTGGATGCCAAAGAGCTAGCTGTTGCAAAGACTCTTCGGGAGAAAGAGCACATCCGTATGACGAAACTAAGGGAAGAGTCCCTTAAGGTTGCGGCATACAGTGCCCTGGCTTTCAAAATTCTCCAACAACACTCTACTATATGGCTACCATACAACTTCGAGTAAATTTAACTCTATACTTAAAGCTTTGTTCGATATATTTTATTCGATGCAAAAGAGCTTATCTAGTTCTATGATTAAATCCATGCAACAACCACTGGATTTGTATAGCCATCGATGTCGGGAGGAGCATGGCATGGGTCTTTGATTCAATAGATAGGGACCTGGTGACATACAAAGACTTCATATCGATTCTCAAGACATATACATATCAACAATCCTCATTAGCTTATATGATTGTATACGTACTTATAACGTTCACTTTTGGGTACTAACAAGTTGTATTTGCTAAAATAATTAGAACAGGGCATTTAGGTTCTATGTCACTAAACATCACGGAAGGCATGATCCAGCAAGAAAGGAAAAGCTGGCTATAAAAACACTATGTGCGGTAAGTGTAACTTACTTCTTCAGTACTCCATTACATGGTTGTCAAAAGCATTACTTAACATTTTCATATGTAAAACACACAGTGCCCCAAGCAAAAGCCTGGGAGTGTACATTGTGGATACTATATATGTTCTATGATGAGTAACACTGGTGCCTACAGGAGACACCCCTTAAGGGTAAGTTTGAACCTCTTCACCCGTAGTATAAAAACTTCGTACATGGTATGAAATACTAAACCGAAACTTGTTCTTTTGTAGTGGAAAGAAGAGAAAGAAATAAAAAGAGACCCATACAAGGATGACCAACTCTTAGAGCTCGTCGGCGACCTTTGCAACTTCATATTGGACCAGATTGTGCACGTCAAAGGCGCCTACCATGATCGAGACTCTGACTTAGGTAGTAATCCTCAGTACCAACACCGTCCTGAGACTGAAAGGCTAGCTCTAGGATGTTGATAACAATATGTATGGAATTTGATAACAATGTGTATGGAATTTGACATTGGTTTTACCTTGTGAATTATGTCTATTTAATGATGGATTGTATATATTCTTGTGAAATGGACTTGTAATTGTAGTTTATATAATACTCTTGTGCTTGTAGTCTAAGGGGTTCGGAACGCTGGTCGCGGGGCGTTCGGCAACGCGAACGCGGTTCAGAACATTGGTCGCGGAGCGTTCAGCAACGCGAACGCGGTTCGGAACGTTGGTCGTGGGGCGTTCGGCAACGCGAACGCTGGATAGAATACGCTGAAACAAACAGTGTTCTGGTCGAATTTGAATTGTAAATTTAAATTTTTTTTATGGAAAAACATACTGTAGGGGCGGTTCTAGACTGAACCGCCCCTACAAACAGATATTATAAAGGCGGCTGGTATACAAATAGATTTGTAGGGACGGCTGTAGTACCAGCCGCCCCTACAAATGTATGATTTATAGAGACGGTTTGGTAGGGGCGGCTGGCCAAATCACCCCTACAAAGGGTTACGAGCCGCCCCTAAAAAACGTTTCTGTAGTAGTGCACAATACCAGAATTCTTGGAGGATATTAAAATTACATTCGAATGAGGTACTTCCAACAAACAACTTGTTTGCACACGAACACATCACCGTGTGCCCTGGCGATGAGCGCGATACGCAGAACACGTCGCCCAGGGAGCCCCGCTGGGAATGCGATACGCAAGACACGCTGGCGAAGTCTCTTGGGACCCAAAACCCCACACGTCCGGGAGGGACCCTGTCAAGGCGTGCGGTGGCTATGGGCTGGCCTAGCCGGCCTGACCGCTCTAGGGCTTCGCCATCGTTGAAGCAATGGACATCGTCGATAACAAAGAACGAGAAGAAATAGTAGATTGGAAAAGTAAGATAAAAGATAAAAAGTAGATGTATTGATAGATTCGATTGTGTGTTGTCAAACGGTCATCACCCTTTATATTTATAGGGCGGCCGATCTTTCCTATGAGTACATGCATATCTCTAGAATTACAACGAGATAAGGTTTCCCTGCGCTAGTAGACGTATTAATTTGTGAGTCCGAGTAGAACACGAGAGCGTATATGTGTATTATATGACCGAGCTTGCCTTTCCTGCTTGCATGTACGTGTTACGCATTATCATATCCAATTCCCAATTTAGATTTGCCTTTCTTGCTTCATGATCAACGTACAGCTGCGTATACCTGGCACCAAGCTCCCGAGTCCCGTCCGTACAGGCACGGCCAGGTTCCAAACACGTACTCATTAAAGTAATGTGAATAAATACTTCACATCTGCATGTACGTCCCTTTTGATGGTCTTCAATCAAACTAGCTAGCAATTACTATGCATGCCAAATTAAACACCCGTCGGTCAAAATAGTCATATGTTGCACTCAATCTTCATGTCGCCTGTATCCAAGTATTGAGAACCAATCTCCTTTCTTAATTAATCTCCTTCTAGTAGCACGTATGGGAGCTTGACTCGATCCTTCTTGTTAAGAGCCCGTTTGGTACCGCTCCTCGCACGGCTTCTGAAGTCGTTTTATGGCTCCACCAACCAAACGGTCTTAAACGAGCGGCTCCCGCGGAGGATTCCCGGTTTATGCGCTCTCACATGTCGCTGCGGTCCACTGGAGCCAAAAAATCGAGCTTCCACCGGCTCCTGTGTCAGACCCAGCAGCCACGGTCTCTCTTTGCCCCTAAAGTTCACAACAAATTATAGCATCTACCATTGTCTCCCCAACCAACCTTATCTGCTCATTCGCAGGCTGAAGCCGTACGGTGTGGAGAAAAGAAGCTCCGTCCTCCCTCCATGGATGCACGGCAGCCCGAGAGGCAAGATGGCGAGGGGGTTCTGGAGACCGATAGATCCGACGACGCTGAAGATGGATCCATGGGTGTCGCGGGCCAGGAAGGAGCGACAGCAGGAGGCTTCCGCGCCCTCCTCACGGGAGCTGCAGGCGACGTCGTGGGCACCAGCCCCATCGGCTGGCCGCCGGGCACGGCCCGGGGCGGCGCCCCTTGGCCGGGCATGGCCCCAGGTGGTGGCGCCTGGCTAGGCGGCGGCGCATGGCCGGGACCGCCCCCAGTTGGCGGCACGTGGGTGCTGTTCAGCCAGGGGCATTTTAGACATTGTCTCTATCTTAGCCATTGATAAAAGACATGAGGAGCTATTCAGCCAAATGGTTTCCCAAAACAGCTTCAGCTCCACTAGAGAATCTGCTCCAGCACAAGATCCAGAGCCAAAGCTATTTTTAGAGGAGCCGGAGCCCTACCAAACGGGCCCTAACTCAGGCGAGGGCATATCATCCTTTCGTGTATATACATACCAAATATTAATACAACATCACAACCATTGATCCATCTATCCATCTTGTAGCCGTGTACTGCTCTGAAACATTATTATCAGATATAGATAATTATATATATCGAGAAACCAGGAGAGGCCGACAATCCAACCGAGAGTCTCTCTTCTCTAATCTTCGGCTCAGATCAGTCGTGACAAAGGACACTCGGGCCAGTGGCACGATAGTCAACGACAGGCTCAGCGGTCACATTAACCTACAATGCACTCGAACTATGTTGATCAAAATATACGCTCAATCATTCAAGCCGAGTGACTAAACACTTCAGACAAATTTGAGTATCAACACAACTCTCGTCGTTTTTCACATTGCTGTTGAAATGGCCCGTTCCCGTTATGGGCTGTCCAATCTCTCCAACCAGACCTCGTCGCTGACAGCGGCGTCCTCATCGTTGTTACGGTGCCACGTCCATACTGCTCTCCTGTTGTCCATGATCCTCAGCCGCCCGTGCCCAAAGCTTGCCTCCCGGAACAGCGACAGGTGCGCCAACTCATGGTCACTGATGAATCTTCAGAACACAAGGAATTTAATTGTTAGTAGCGTTCATCAACACGACTAAGATGCATTTAGATTGAGAGCAACTCATGTTGTCTGAATGGTACTTATGAGCTTTGTTGTTGCCTGCGTCACCAATGGTGATGTACATCGGGCCCTGGCTGTTGGTCTTGTTGTCATAAATCCTCGCCTGTGACGAACAACAATACATGAACTCGACAGTTGATACTACTAGCAAAATGCAATGTACTTACAAAGCGCTCATAGGCGTGGGTGTGAGAGGCGAAGACGACATCCACGCGCGCCTCATAGAGCAGGCTCTCCATGGCCCTGCGCATGCTCTCGGCCTCGCCCTGGTGCGCCCGGTTAGTGTTGTACCAGGGCACGTGCATGAGCACCAGCAGCCACGGCGTCCTGCGCCGGTCCACCGCCGCAAGGTCCCTCCGCAGCCACGCCTGCTGCTGCTCCATCGACCCGTCCTCGAGCTCGGCGTAGGAGCCCAGCATGACGACGTGCACCTTGCCGCCGGACGCGTCGAAGGAGTAGTAGAGGTTGGAGCTCGAGCCGCTCTCCTCGTGCGGCATGCGCCACCGCGCGTTGTACGCCACGAAGCGCCGCGCCGGCCTGTCGGTGTCGGGCTCGCGCAGCGTCTCCTTCTCGTGGTTCCCCTCTGTCACCATCCACGGCCGCGCGCTCGCCAGCGGCTGCACCAGCCGCCCCCACGAGTCCCACAGCGGCTGCTGGCTGTCCGCGTACGAGAGGTCTCCGGGAAGCAGCACCATGTCGTGGTCGTGGTCTGCGGCGGCGCCGATTTGGTACAGCGTCGATGCCGTCCACTCCGTCTGTCCCACGTCGCCAATGACGACGAACTCGATGGGCAGAGTGGCCGGAGGTGCCCGGAGGCTGAACTCGTCGCCGGCCCTGCCGCACCTGCAGTAGTAAGTCGTGCCCGGCTCTAGCGGGCCGATGGTGACGTGGTGTATGGCGCCCGATGTGTATGACAAGAATTGGTACGAGGTCTGGTAGCCCGTCTCGGACGCAGCAGTGTACTCGCCCGGAGATGTTCCGTACTCCACCACGGACGGTGCGCTGCGGTCGTCGGTGACCCAAGTAATTCGCATGCCGTGCGCCCCCACAGCCGAAATGTGCACCTGTGTTGGAGCGAGAAAAGACGATAACTTATACTGCAGGTCTGCATCTTTGGGCCGGGACAGCTAGCGTACTATGCACTGGCTGCAACATGTTAATCGAAGCTGCAGGCACCTGTTGAGGATGGGATGCCGGCTTGTCGTGCGCCGTGAGCACCAGCGTCCGTTGCGGCGGCCGGACATACTCATCGTCATGGACGAACGGCATCATCTGGGACTCGGGTCCTGAGCAATGCAAAAGCAGTGCCTCAAAGTTGTTCTTGCTCGTGTAGAAGGAGCGCCGGAGGTTCGTAAATGACCGGGCGACCACCATCTTATAATACACTGATGACTTGGAAGATACGGAATCAGTGGGACAGGGCTCCTTCGTTGTTCGTTCTTGTAATAATATTGTAAGGAGACTGGTTTGAGCCGGTTCCGTGGTAACCAAGGCGACACGAGATGAGTAGCTAGAAGAGACAGATGAATGCGCGTCTTAGGAAGTCAAAGTTTAGTGGCAGATGCGTGTATTGGAACTTTGGATGATGGAAAGGCAGGCACAGACATAAACAACGAAGCTGTATTTTGTGTAAAGTGACTATTTTTTGTTCAGCAGTAAACAATACTAATTTCTGTTGATCTTCCTAGCTCCCACACTTGTCCATTCAACCATATGCATGGTCAGTCCAGTCGTCAAGGAAAACAAAAATAAAATCGGCGTTGTTGCCTCAGGTCATTCTTAAACATGGAAAGGCGGCTAACAAATGACAAAAAAAAAAACAATTTCATAGCAAAGTTCGTCACTATATAACATGCCTGTGTGAATTGGAGAATCTTATCTTAGTATTACTAAATAGATGCCCCAATAAAAGTATCACGTTAATTCTCACCAGATATGCTAAGAAAAAAGATAAATTCAAGAAATTCTCACAATACTCAGAAACATATGGCCTTTGATTTGGTAGTCTCTAATCGTCATAACCGATAATAGCCATTGCATCTATTGTAGTTTATTAAAAATTACCTACCACTGTCATTATGAAAAATACATAAAGTAACCCCTAATTTTGCATGTAAATTACCCACATTTGCCATTACAAAAGATAATTCTTATATTTATATATAAATTATCCACATCTGTCATTATAAAAAATAATTCAAAATAATGCTCTAAATTTGTATCTAAACTACCCACCTCGCCTATTATGAAACATAATTTAAAATAACCCCCTTACATGGCTCTAAACTATCCAACTTTGTCATTATGAAAGATCTAAAATAATCCTCTTTGTTTCTAAATTACTCATATGTACCATTATGAAAGATAATTTAAAATACCTCCTATGATTTTATAAATTATCTACCTTTATCATTATGAAAGATAACGCAAAGTAATATTCTAAGTTTGCATTTAACCTATCCATATATGTTATCGTGAAAGATAATATAAGGTATTACCTTTATATTTGTATGTACCTTAGCCGTTATAAAAATAAACAAAAAATCTCTGAAATATACACGTAAATAGTAATATATATTAGTACAAAAAATAAATCAATATCCATAAAGTACGATACATATATATTTCTAAATTACATATAATTTTATTATCGTGAAATAAAATAAATATAATTCTATGTTCCATCATGTATATCAAATAAACATGTATATATTAGGATAAATATGTATTTTAACAACTTATGAAACATGGAAAAATGTTCACTTAACAAACTACGTAGCAAAAACACTTTGTATTAAAACTCTGATAATAAATTTCATTTAGTTATTATTTTAAATAAGTTTATACTTTTTTACTAAAACATTATGTCATATCAATATTATTGATTTAATTTTATACTACTCATATATAATCATGTAATATAACAAATTTAACATGCATGTTTGCTGTCATGATGCAAACCGGACTTCTACTTACGTGGAAAACAATACTAGTAGGAATTGTTTACTATAACATGTGAAAAATTGCAACAACTTGATTAAAAGTTAAAAATAAACTATAGATTTAGGAAGGCACAAAAAGTGATGCATCAAGAGTTTATATATCTTAAGACTAGATTTCCACTAAATACATATCACACTAGAAAAAAAGATAAATACTAAAAATTCTAACTAGAGGTCCCCGCTGGAGCTTGCATGTTAATCCTCAAAAGACTTGATAAGAAAGCAAAAGATAGATCCTAGAAATCCTCATAAAAATTAGAAACATTTTACCATCAATTAGGTATAATAACCTAATGGCCATTGATAATAATAATAGCTATTGGGTCTATTCTATTTTCTAAATACTTATCCACTTTGGTAATTGTGTAAAACAATATAAACTAACTTCTATTATTGTGTAAAACAATATAAACTAACTCATGACTCTAATTATATTAACCACATATGTCATTAAGGAACATGATCTAAAGTAGACCTAAATTTGCATTTAATTACCAACGTCCTCTTATTATGATCGATAATTTACATAACTCAATTTTTATCTCCTTATTAGAAAAATTAAATACCCCTCAAATATCTACATCTTCAGTATCAACATCTCCTATTACAAAAAATATTTAGATAATAAGGGCATGTTTGGAATAGCTCACAACAGCTTCAGAGCTATTGTGAACTGTTTTTTTTTGTCAAACACACATTTCCAAAACAACTTTACGCGTAAAGCTGTTTTTCTCCTCCCCTCATAAAGACAAGAGTTGGGGTGAAGCTGAAAATAGTAGCTTATTCTAGCTTTACCTTACACAAGTAGGCCCCAGCACCTACCCAAGTCAGATTTGCCCCTGTCTCGTGCATGGGTATGCCATCGGAGCGCTTGCAGCGTAGTTGGCAGAGGTCGCGGCGCGGCCGTCGGGGCTCGCCGCCGCGTGGGCGACCTGCCGCCGAAGGTTGGAGCACGGCCGTGCAGGCTCGCCGCCGCCGGAGGTCGGGGTCGGGGTGTGGCCGTGCGGGCTCGCCACCACGTGGAACTGTGGCCGCCAGCCTCAGGGCACGACCGTCGGGCCCTCCAAGGCTCGCCGTGCAAGCAGCCTCCGGGGCTCCCCGGCATAACTGCTGGGGCTCCCGCGCGAGGCTGGGGACGCCGCCGCTGGGGGAGCCAGCCGGGTGACGGAGGTGCGGAGCTAGGAACTATGGGCGCTGCCGGGATGCGGCCGGGCGAAGGAGACGGCACGCCGCCTCACCGGGCTTGGGTGCCGTCGTCGTGTTGTACGCGAGCGCGGGCTCCGTCGCCGTGCCGTACGCGAGAGCGGGTGCCGCCACGATGTCGTACGCGAGCGTGGGCGCCGCCGCCATGCGGGGCGCTGAGTGCAGCTATGGGAGAGGAGCGCGCGGTGCGAGGACCATTTGGACGTGGCCACCGGGCTCGCGGCCTTAGGCTCACCATGGGGCTTGCGGCATCATGGCCTTCGTGCGGCTCGCGTGCGACTCCACAACCAGCATCGGTGGGAAGAAAGAGTTGCGGACGTCCGTGAGGACCAAAGATGAGGAAAAAAATAAAAATAAATAAAAAAGGGTAGTCCAGTCATTTTATTGTTTTTGTCTATCTGGTCTATCACTTGAAGCTATTTTGTCAAACAAGTTTCTAAAATAGCTTTAGCTTCACAAAAAAAACTGCTTATAAAGCTAAAACCTAAACATAACAGCTTCATTGGTGAAGCTAAACTGTGCCAAACGGGGCTTAAATAGAGCACAAATATGTCTCTACAATAGCGTCGTGCCAACATGCATGAGTAATAAAATACATATGTTATATTCATCACATAAAAAATATTTTCTTAACAACTCACGTACTAATGATACTAATGAATTATTTAAAACCATATTAGCAGCCATAACATATAATTTGTATAGATTATTACTTTAGATATATTTATGTATTTTAACTCAAATGTTTGACATATCTATATTATAGTATAACCATAACTATGATAGGAAAGTTCAATCATTTTGAGAAGTGTGGGAGACTACTGGTGGCTATATTTTCCTAGCCCTTTAAGAATATTTTAGAGTAAAATGTCGATCACTATAAGGTATACGTATTAAAATTCTGTTGAGGTTAGCACTTCTACCCGTATCCAAGATCTCACTTCAAGCTCTATAACTTATTTTAAGCGATATGGTGCACCTAAATAATGGCTTATGCTATTATAGTACTTAAGAACATACACTATGACCTAAAATCTTTATTTTAAAAAAGTGCGAAAGAGAGAGTTAATGAAAGATACAATAAGTACAAGAGTTTCAACTTAATTAACTTGAGGAGAGAGAAAAATACATAGTAGTTGATAAGAATAAAATTAAAAAAAAAACAAAATTTAGATTTATGACTTCATAGATACGTGATGCAAGCCACCATGATTAATGGTAAGGTGTCAAAGTAATTTTATATTAAAAATATATAGAGGTGCCATGCGAAGGGAAAATATGAATATGGATAAAAAATATATGCATTAGTTCCTTGAAGAATAGTAATTAATAATTTTATGATAACTTGATATAGACTAGGAAGTATCTATTATGTCTTTTATGTTAGAAAACAAATAGAGAAAAAAATATGATTTAACATAAGTAATTCTTTATTAGATAGATGTACATGTACTCCTCCATTCCAAATTATAAGACGTTTTGAGTTTTTAAATACATAGCTTTTGCTATACACATAGATGTACTGTCTAGATACATATATAGTAAAAACAATATATCCAAAAAAAAATCAAAACATCTTATAATTTGGAATAAAAGATTATTAAACAATACCAAATACTTATATCTCCAAAAATTCTAGCCCGTGCGAGAGCACGGGTTGATGGACAAGTGTATCTTAATATGACTGATTGGAAATCCCCAGTGCAGCCTTTATATTAATCCATATAAAATCTCATAAAAATTAGAAACATGTAGCCATTGTGAATTATCCATCTTTGCTATCATAAAAAGTTGCATAAAGTAACCCATTGCGATCTATTTTGTATTCTAGCAGAGTATTGTCCCTCTTTGCCCAATGTGAAAAAAGCATAAGGTAACCCCCTCACCCTACTACAGATTGAGTGACCACTGTAACACATCAGATGGAGGGCCCAAGAGGGGGACCGGCCCATCTAGGGCGGCCACAAGGTGGCCAACCACGTCACCCAGGAGGGGGGCACGCGCTTAGCAAGGGCCCCTCCTGCCACGCCACCAACACCCGTGTTCGGAGGATTCCAAATGAAGGAAAGGAGAGAAATAAAATAGGAATAGATTAGATAGATTTAGAAGAGTCCAATCTATAAGGACTCCCTTCATTAGATTACATAAGATGCAAGTCTACTTGGGACTATAAATATATAGGCATTGCAATCATTGGAGATCAAGAAAGAATAGCCTCAGGCTTATCCCTTCCCTTCCCTTCCATTCCCTTCTCCCTACGCCTCTCTCCCTCTACCTACTGCCGCCCCCTCACCCCCTACCGATGCCCCAGCTCCCCTTCCCAAACCTAGCTGCCACCACTAGGAGACCCCCCTCCCAAGTGATGTGTTACACCTGGTATCCGAAGACCGGACGATCCATGGCTTCCACCACCACCAACATGCAACAGCTGATCCAGAACCTCGCCAACGACCTCTGCAAGAACTTTGAGGAGATGCATTGCCAACTCGTCCACCTGGACACGTGTCTGCACGCCATGCTCCAACGCTCCGAAGATCATCTTTGATCTGTCAAACAGCCTGTTCATGGCACCACCAACACCGCAACCCCCGCTATCGCCATGCTTCCTCCCACTCACCGACCACGTTGCTGTCCCGCCGACCCCGGCCGGCCTCCAACCTCCATAGTCGGCCACCTGGCCTTCGGCATAGTAGGTGCCTGCACCAGGAAAGCCACTACCTCTAACCCCGTTAGCAACGCTAGCACCACATCAACGTCAACAACCCATCACGGCTCGGCTGACAACCCATACGTATGATGGCTCCATAGATCCACTATCGTGGCTCTCGCGACTGCAACTCCTCTTCAAGCTGCACCATGTGCCTGAGGACGAGCAAGTTATGTACGCGACTTTTCATCTAATAGGTACCGTACAACTCTAGTACATCGACATGACGAAGGATGCACCAATGTCTGAGTATGAGCTCTTCAAGCGAAACCTCATCCGCGACTTCGGCCCACCAATCTGCAGGATGCGATCGGTGACCACGCACCTCCCTAGCACACTGGCACCTTGAACGACTACATCGATAGTTTCACCGCCTACGTCCTACATGTCGACATCGCTAGCGAGCTTCATCAAGTGAACCTTTTCATCGTGAGCATGCAAGATGCACTCAGGGCAATGATCATCCAGCATCACTCGCGGAACATGGAGACGGCCATCGACCTCGCATGCCTACAAGAGCACCCTGCACCAATCTCCATTGACACCATGCGTTCCACCGTTGATACCATGCAGGCCACCCTCGACTCTGATGTCTCCTCGAACCATGCGACAGAGGCCGAAGTTGAAAACCCATCTGGCAACATGGAGGGTGACTCGACACAACCCCCGATGGCAATGGCTCCAACCCCTCGGAACACCCCGGCAATGGCACTCCTTCTGTGGACCGACTACAGCATCGGAGCAGCCCGCGTGTTGAGAGTCACTAACACCCGTTTTGACCATCAAATTTCACCCAAAAGCATGGCAAAAGTGAGGTAAACCATCATCACATGTGTAGAATTTTGTTGATAATTCACCTAGTTCGACTTGTGCTTGTAGAATTATTTGTATGCAGGAAATATGGCAAAATTTGGCTACAATGGTGACAAACATGGATCAAGTAAGCAAGTGGATGTGACAGGAGGCTGAGGGCCCACTTGGCAGCACCACCCAGACCCACAAGGCCGTCGCCCAGCCCCCCAAGTGGCCCTACCATGTCACCGATCGATGGGAGCTGCTCTTAAGCCAATCACAAGCTTCCATTCAAGTTGGTTTGATCAACGGACAAGATTTGATGCCGATGGATTCATGGGCCCATTGTCATAGACTTGGGAGCTCTCCACCGCTTATCGGCCAAGTTTCACCACGTGTTGGCTTCACAACCGCCTTGGAGGAGGAACCAGCACCCTTGCATGTCAAGGCGATGCATCCAAGGGCTGGCCGGCGCCCCTATGCCGTCGCCCGGTGCCTTAGGTCCTCCACCGACCTCCTGGCTGGCTACAAATACCCCTCCCTTCACTATACACTATAAATAGTGGGTGTGGAGCTCGGTAGAGAAGTGCCCCATTCAATTCCAAGCTCTCCAAGCTTCTCTTAGCTTTCTAGCATAGCTTAGCTATAGAGTAGTAGTCTAGTAGTGGAGTAGAGCAAGAGCGGAGCTACTCTCGGAGCTCGGAAGAGTCTTCTGGGTCTGGTATAGCTCCTTTGTAATTCTTTCATTTCAGCATTTACTTTATTCAATATTTATTTAAGTACTTTATTCTAGTATTATTGCTTTACTTTACTTTAAATACTTAGTCATTAGTCTTCATCATTAGTGAGCTTAGGTGCTTGTTGTTTGGCATTAGTAGCATAGATTATCTTATAATTAGTAGCTATTCCTTAGTATCAGTTCCACTGTCTGGCTAGGGTGCTTTGATCTCATTTCATCGGAGCTCAGATCAAAGTAGTAAGCCTATAGATTAAGTGTGGTGCTTAGGCTATAGATTACTACTGGATATGGCTAGGCCTCTGGATGGATTATGGTAGGTGGCAAGTGGTGACAGGCTTGTCCATCCTCTGTATTACACCATCATAGGTCTAGTTATTAAATCATAGGGCTCGTGGTAGACCTTGTCTATTTAACTCTCCTAATTGGTAGGCGGGCTATGCCCCGAAGTACTATCGTATTTCTCCTAGTCATTTGTTTACCTTAGTTATAAACATAAAATGCTCGCTCTCCCACCTAGCTATCTCTAGGTTAGCTTGTTAGTAGTAGTTAGTTTAGGTAGTTCACATAAACCCTTCACTATCGTTCACCTACCTAGGATTAACTTAGACTTTACCTTAGCAATTATTAGTTAAATATAAATTCTAGCCTTCCTCCTTTCCGTGGAAAATATAAATTCGACACTCGGTACTACTCACCGAGCAAAGTGCTACGCGATAGTTCTGTGCGCTTGCGGAATCCTCCAATAGTCGTTAATAAATATCAACAAGCATTTCTGGTGCCGTTGCCGGGAAAGGCAACTGGCCATGGATTTATATTACTAGATTTGCTAGCTAGGTTGTTAGTTATCCTAAGTAGTTTATCCTTTTTTCCTCATATCCTTTCACTACCCTCCATGACCATTGGCGACAA